ATCACACCTCGCTGCTGGCTTTAACAGCGGTGAGAACTTTTCGAAATTCATGGAAGAGTTTTGAAATAGAAAATATTTAAAAAAAAGAAGGCATTTCTACGTTCTGCAGGCAGACGGGCAGAACGGTGATTTAATGGGGTAGCAAGAAAACAAACCCAAAAGGAGAACACGAGGGAAGACGGTTGCAGCTGGGACATGAGGTTTTCTAGCACTGCGTTGCATTTTTTTGTTTCTTTTATAGCGGATTTTGATATTGCGCATCGTTTTATATAGAGTAACTGCCCCTCCTCGACGTTCGGCTGGAGCGCCGCGTGATGGCAAGTAACGGGGCACAGGGCTGGCTGCAAAAGGGCTCGTGCAGCACGTTGGTGGGCATCTGCGGCCGGGTCCTGGGGGCACGCTGCAGCCCTCTCTTCCTGACCCCAGCACACACACACCCCCCATAGCAAAAACGGGGTTTTTTTCCCCCAATTTCCACCGCCCCCTCCTGCACTGCTCCATACTGCAGCTGTGTGTATGCACTGCCCTGCCCTATTTCCAGGCTGTCCCACTCCTTGAGTTGGTCATTTATTCGCAGGAAACAGGCACAACCCATCCGGTTTAGGATAGCTGGTGGGTACACAGCCTGTCCCTGCCCCCCGAGCCCCCAGAGCATCCCCTGATGGGGATGGGCTGGGGGATTTACCACCCCATTGCAATACCTGGCTGTGGAAATCACGCATGGCAGAGTTTGGGGTGGGGGGATATACCCATAGCTGCCCCCCTGCAATGGATGGATCCTAATGGATCCAATGGATGGATCCTAATAATGCCATACGCGATTTCCAATGGACGGCTCTGCGTGCTGGGTGAGTGAGAGTGTGACTGTCTCTGTGCCCACTCTCGCCCACCCCTGCACGCACATTTTAACATGCATTTTGGGTTTTTTTCATTTTAAAAAAAAAAAAAGCCATACCGTGTTCTCCCCATCCGGGAGTGTGTCAAAACACTAGATTTAGGCAAAGCCACCTCTCTTGCATTTTTCACCGTGTTGTGTCCCGTGGCCTGGCACCAGCTCTGCGTCAGCTCCGGGGGCCGCGCTGGATCTGGCCAGGGGTGCGCTGGCAGAGCGGCAGGCACGGAGCTGCCCACCGGGCACGTCTCTGTGCGCTAAACGTGCAGTAAAGGAGACGTTGGGTTAATTCAGGGCTTTGGGCAGGGAAGAATCCCTCATTGCAGAGCTTCCTGTGTGGACTCTCATGCTCTGGTTTCTCCCGGCTGTCTCCATCACCCTTCTCCGACCTCGCAGTGCTCAGTTTGCCTGGCACAACACCCTTTCTCCCGGACTGTGCGTTATCCGGGTTAAAAGACTTGGGGCCGGCTGGCTCAGCGCAGCGGAGGATGGACGGGCTGCAGAGACTGTGCTGTGCTCCGGGCCAGCTTTCCTTTCTGAAGCCGCCACGGGAAGAAAAACCTGCGGCATCAGCCCCGTCGGCTCACAGATGCTGTCTGCAGCCCAGCTGGATCTTTTACTTCTAACTGCGCGGGCTTTTAATTCCACGGGAAATCTTTTGAAGTACAGGTCAGTCTTTGCAAATGAGTATCTTTGACTTTCTCGGGGGTTCTGTTTGGGGTGGGGGGGCAGGGCTGGGTTTGGTTTCGTACGTGTTTAATATTCTGAGCTTGGCCCCCGTGGTGCCCTGTGCCCGGAGCACGATCCCTCTGCTCCGGGGGGACAGCAGCCACTGCGGCCACGCTCCTGTGTACAGTTTTCACTGGGGTTTGTTTCTACACGTTGAACCCTCCTCTCCTTTGCATCTCTTGTGTCCCTACTTCTCCCAGCAGCCTTCCTTTCTGCCTTTTTTTTTTTTCATTTTTCTTTCCCATGTAGCTTGGAAACTAAGTGAAACTACCCTTCACCTGGTGAGCTGTTGTACAGAACTTTGGGAATCTTAGGGTGGGGGGGAAGCAACAAAAAAAAATAAACTACTTTGACATGGATTTTGAGGCTGAAATTTTTGTCCCTACAGCTTCAAACACAGGGTGTTTGGGTGCAGGAGTTGCCTTGCTGCTGAGGGGAACAGTGCAGCACGCACCAATACGAGGGATGCTAAGGACCCTTCAGCCCAGCCTCAGTAAGTCATTCCCACAGAAACACAGAGCAATAACCACCCTTGGGAGCATGGAAAGGCCCTTTTCTTGCTGGCACCATATCAAACCTCTTTCAAGCTGCTGAGAAGCTTCAGGGTTGCAGTTCCTAGAACCACACACATCATCCCAAAAAGCCCCTAACCTAGAGCAATCATCCCAAAAATACCCAGCTCCCCCCTGCTGCTGGGACATTTCCTTGCATAACTGTCCAAGCAGCCACAATTCCCTGACTTAGAGCTGCTCTGCTCCCCACGGGCACCAGGAAGCTCATAGCACCGACTCCAGTGTTCCCAACACACAGGGCGAACACCTACTACAAACTGGAGAATAAAACAAGATACCACCATAAATATGACAACTTTATTAAAATATACATATGAGTACAAATTAATGATTATATGGATAAAGTTCACTGTCTGTAAACAAATATATTAAAAAAGAGCACGTCTTTTTTGTGATATAAAGTGCAGTTATGTTTCCATATTATATACAATATGTCAGCATTACGGGGGGGTGTAAGGACTATGGCACTAACGTTTGGTTATAAGATAAAATTCTCTGAAAAAGTATACACCTACATATTACAAAATAAAGGGGCTTGGGCTCGAGTTCATTTAGCAAACCAAAGTCAGCTTTCCACCACGTTAAATGCAGCCACCGAGAGCGCGGAGGTCTCGGGGATAAGTTAGGAGAGGGGCACTAACCCCCTTGGCAAAGGGAAACTTGCGCTTCGCAGAGTTCTCAGGGTCAACCCCAAACTTGCCTAGAGGAAAGAAACCAAAGGACAAGACCTCGTGCAACACGTGTCTGCAGTCGGGGGGAATCAAATATACATGACTTTATGTACAACTCTGGTAAAGAGGGCTACCAACGGCCGGCGGTAACGACTTTGCAACCGAGCCGTGCCGGCACCGTTCCTCTGCACGGGAGAGGGACAAGGAGAGCAGTGCTGCATCGGTGGGGAATTAAAAACAAATCACAACCCAAAAGCTTCCTTAACACTGGTCTGTGGGGTGTGTAGGACTTACTAAATGGAATAGAGAGCCCTTGCAAAGGGAGGCACAGCTCAGGGGTGCCGGCCCGGCACGTGCCGTGGGTGCGGGGCACTAGGAGTGGGGCGCGCGGCAGGAGCGGCAGCAGGCTTTGCTGTAGTACCAGTGGCTGCACAGGTTGACTTTGATGGCCAAAGCGCAGTTGGTTCCTGCCTGGTCCTGGCAGCTGTCGTCTGGGGGAAAGGAGGCAAAAGGCACCCATATAGAACAGAAACCAAGGCACCGCAAGCTCTTGAGTTCTTATTTCCCCCCGTACACAGCCTGTCCTGAACACCACAGCTGTGCAAGTCACCCTGGCTGTGACCACCACCTCTGATATCTGGCAGATCATCCCCTGGAAAACTGCATGGAGCTTCCTCACACATTCCACTGTCAACCCAAGGTTGACCTGTCATCAGCCCTGGCCAGTCTCACTTGGTCCCAGGTCTCGAGCTCTTCCCTTCAAACCAGAGCTACCCAGGGATTGCTGGAGACCCCATGGGAGCCTGGCACTGAGCTGCCCCAAGCCAAGAGCCTCCCATGGCAGGGCAAGAGATGACCCTATCATACTCACAGTTTCTGCTCCAAAGAGGCTATTTGAGAAAGGGAACAGGGATCCAGCAGTGTTACAGCAGGAGTTAGGGACAAGTGAGAGGAACAAGGCCAGAGACAGCTTCACCACTCTCCCAGCTCCCTTTAGAGCAGTATTTTGCTTCAAAACCATAGGATTTTAGTTTTACGTATATATATTGCTTTAAATCCATAGGATGCACATACCCAGGCTGCTCCTAAGGCAGGCACCTTCCTACAAGGGGACCACGAGGCACCTCACAAGGGTCTACATCCTGGACCCTGTGGGAGAGGTCAGCCAAGGGCACCCAGTGAGTCTGGAGCTGAGCCAGGAGCCGGCCCCAAATCCGGCTCCCATTTTCATGCTTTTCTCCCACACTGTCCTTATTCCCAAATCCTATTAAAGAATTAGAACCGCGTGTTCACTAAAGATCACAGGGGCTTTGAGCCAGCAGATGAGTCAGATAACGAGATAGTTACAAATCCCGCAGGACATTTGGAGACCAAAAATCATTAAAATAATGGCAGAGACAAAACTTCCTAGACATTAGTGGGAATCACACAGAAGCAGCAGCACCCGAGTCAGCTCCCAAAGCTCTTTTATCTTATGGCCAGACCATGCTGCTTCTGAACTCTCCCCTTAAATTATCAGGGTTACCTCCAGAAACAGCCAGTGCATGGTGCCACCATTGCTTGGGCACTGAGGGAGAGTTGTCCCCTTTATGTCCTCCTGGGATGACAATCAAACTGGGGGTCAGTGGAAGTTAAGATGTTGGGCAGTGCTGTGTGGGGGAGGGGTCAGTGGAAAATTAATTCCAGGGGTGCTGCCGGTGGCAGGGCTCACCTGGGGGCTCCGTGGGGCAGGGCTGCAGGTCACAGGTCTGCTTGCCCACCGGCTTCACGAGCGGGTCACAGCCCCGGACGATGTCCTTCCCTTGGTAGCACTTCACGTCCCGCATCCTCACGCCGATGCCGCAGGTTTTTGTGCACTGGGGAAGAGAGAGAGGGGGTGAGGAGAGACCCTGCCATCACAGGGATCCTCACTAAGCCAGGACCTGCTAAAAAAGCTGTGCTCGCTGGGTTGAATGTCATGTCCCAGCCCTGCTCCGCTGGCCTCTTGTGCCGTCTTTGCTGCCAGAACATCAGCTGCCGGCAGCACCCCTGCCCATCCCGGGACCTGCTCCCGTCTCCTGGCACTGCAATCCTCCCTCCTCCTGCTGCCCTTGGCAAAGGGGGCCCATATGCTGCTCTGGGGCACGAGGGTGGCTGCAGCTCCTTCCTGGAGGCCACAGGACCCCCACCACCACCAGCAGGGTCTGGGGTTGCACAGCCAGCATCTCTACACTGTGGGTGTGCAGAGCTGTTCCTGGGCCTCGTGCTCGGTGCTCGCTGCCCATCGGGCACGTGGCCAGGCTGGGATTGCAGCAGGGCTGCTTTGGCTAAGGAGAGGCTGCAACAAGGGTTTGCAAGACTAAACAAAGTGAGGTGCCTGGAGCATGGACAAGGAGGACTGCACTAGGGAGGGCTTGCAGGCAGCCAGCCACAGCCCCTCACAGCTCCTCAGCGGGCTGGTCCCCACGGCCACCAAGCCTTGGCCGCCTCTTTGGGCCACGCAGAGTGCTGGGGCAAACTGCACCCCCAACCTCCACACCCCGTGGGGTCCATGCACACCCCACCAGCAGCTGCAGGGTAAGAAGGGAAGAGCCCAAACCAACCCCAAACACCTCCTCTCATTCCTGTTCTCCCTGAGCAAAGCCAGTCCCGACAACTGCACCGTGGCAGGGCAGGCTCTCTGCCCCCCAGGGTCCCCTTGGGTGCTGTGTCCTGCAGGGCTTTGCCCAGCTCCTTGGGTTAATTTTCAGGTGGTGTGACACTTGGAATGAGGGGATGGTGCATCACATGCTCAGGGCAAGCACATGTTGAAGGAATGGTATTTCCCAAACCCATCTCCCTCCTGCCGATCCCCCAAGCTACCCTGGACTCCCTCCCCACTCACCTCTGACCAAGGGGTCGTGTACCACTTGAAGCACGGTCGCTCAAAGCACGTCGTCTCCTCCACAGGCTTCTTGGCGACGTCGCAGTCGGCAGGGTTGCGGGTCTTGATCTTCCCGTTGATGATCTCCAGGCAGAGCACGATCCTCTTCTTGACGCCCCGGCCGCACGTGGTGTTACACTGGGAGGGTGTGAGGGTGGGCTGAAAGACCCCGTCTGACCCATCTGCAGAGCATCCCTCCACCACCACCCCAAAAAACCAAGCCCTCATCCCACGTGCCACCCAGCACCCCATCGGCAGAGCACCCCTCCACCACCACCCCAAAAAACCAAGCCCTCATCCCACGCGCCCCCCAGCCTGGGGCAGGGGCTGCACTTACCCGCTCCCAGTCCTGCGCGAGCCAGTGCGAGGGGCAGTTCTTGTCCCCACAGGGGTGGATGGCCAGTGGCTTCGCCTCCAGGTTGCACTGTGACTCTGGCACCACGCGCCCGTCGCTGGTTTTGCAGTACACGTGCCGGATCATCCTGCCCTGCCCGCAGCCGCCGCCCACACCAGGCACGGCGGGCGGTCAGCGGTGGGGAAAGCAGCACAGCCCCATCCCTGCCAACCTCTCTGGGGCTCAGCTGCCTCCCCAAGCTCACACTCCCCAAATCACGGAGGGATCATTTGGGCTCAGCTTCAAACAGCTGCAGGGAAGCTCAGCACATCCTTCCCTGGGCAGCCCTGCTGCAGCCAACCCATCCCACTGCTCTATCATAGAATCACAGAATGGTTTGGGTTGGAAGGGACCTTAAAGATCATCTAGTTCCAACCCCCCTGCCATGGGCAGGGACACCTTCCACTAGACCAGGTTGCTCCAAGCCTCATCCAGCCTGGCCTTGGACAGTCCCAGGGATGGGGCATCCACAGCTTCTTTGGGCAGCTGTCCCAGTGCCTCCCCCACCCACTGCAGGAAGAATTCTTTATATCCCATCTAAATCTCCGCTCTTCTTGCTGGTGCTGAGTTTTGCTCAGCCCCTCTTGGGCCAGGCAGGAGGGAAGCCCCATGTGCAGGGAACCCCAGGGTGGCTCCCAGAGAGGCCAAGGCAAAGGGGACCAAGCAAGTGGGTACAAATTCCGTCCCCCCCACTGCAAAGGGCCAGGCAGGCGCTGCCCCGCATGCTCCCCGACTGTTTGGCGGCTGCTCTTGCAGAGATGCACGGTGTTTCACAGCGCCACTGCTGCCATGGAAACGACTTATTTTTAGCTGATGCTAATGTATCAAAACCTGAGTAAAAATAGCTTGGGATGGCGGGGGTCTCTGTAGCAGAATTGTGCAGGAAGAGAAGGGGAGGGGGGGAGGAAAAGGAGGGGGGGAAATACACATCAAAAGAGGGAGGGGGAGAAAAAAAAAAAAGGAAAAGGGGAGAAAAAAAAGAGGGGAAAGGTAAAAAATGGGGAAAAGAGAAAAGGTTCATTTTCTGGGCACTGAGCACTGCCAAGGCACACTGTGCAGCAGACAAACGGGGATTTTGACACCCACTAAGGCCCTCAGCCAGGTCTCTTGGGGTTTACCCCCTCCTGCACCCCATCCCACATACGGAAGGAGTCCCAGGGAGGACCAGCTGGGAAGACACGGGACCTCCCTGATGCTGGGTCACCCCCTGGGGCCGGAGCCCACCTGGCAGCTCATCCCTGCCCTGCCAACCAGGAGCCTTGGGAAGAGCAGGGCTCACTGCGCGCAGCCACCACCAAACCTGGGTGCTGCCACGGGCACAGGGCTGGGCAGCCACTCAGGGTGGCCCAAGGTGACCATGCTGGTGGGCAGGTCCTGCTGACAGGAGAGACTTGAGGCGACACCGGGACTAGGAGAGCCAAAGCAGCCAAACCGTTTGGAGGTTGGCTCCAGGTGCGGGCTGCCTGTGGGTCTGTCAGAGCCAGGAGCTGCTGGGGTGGATGCAAACAACCCCAAAACTCCCAGCGCTGGAGGCACAAAAGCCTGCAAGCAGGGCTAGCACCAGTGGGTTGTGGTAGCCACTCAACTGGCCACCCAAGGGTCTCACCGGTCCCCAGTCGGAGACTGTCCACTGCCGGTCACAGGGTGGCCCGGTGCAGTTCTTCTCGGCCAGGGGCCGGGCGCTGGCATCGCACAGCTTCTCGTCCTCCGAGCAGCGGATGTCCCGCGTCACCACGCTCCGCTCTCCACACCGGGCTGAGCACTGCCGGGGGGAGACAGGGGACAGTGTCAGCAGGGGCTCCCACCACTATGGGAAGTGGGAGTTGCTCCCTGGGTTGGTTATTTTTTTGGTTGTTTGGTTTTGTTTTGTTTTACATTTTAACATGAAACTCTAAAAACACACACTGACAACGCGTGACACACTGTAAAACACCCTGTAGCAAAGCCACCCCTCTTCCCCAAAACCCCTCAACAGCTTCTGCAGGCAGGTTAAGGTGCAGGAGGGCTGCATCCTGCCCGGGTGCTGTGCCAAATCTCAGCCGGGTGATGCCAGATGCCAGAGGGTGAAAACCCAAGGCACCAAAAATGCCTGATCAGAGCTGAAAAGTTTTAGCTGTCACTTAGAGACAAGGTGAGATCTCCCTCGCCTCCTTCCCAGGAACAGCCAGCTCCTTTCCACCTCTTTGGAGAATCGCACAACTGAGATTTTTTATGCTGTGGATAAGTTTGGCACTGCACAGCCCCGTGACATTATTTAGAACTGGATTTGAGTTACTACAGTCTCACATATGCATATTTTGCTCCGTGCATAACGTAAAGCAGGGAAAAAGTGTCAACAGCACAGCGCTCAGGCACGCTGCACTGATATGTTAATCCTCCAATCCCCGAAATGTGCCTTTTTTTTTTTAATGCCTATTTCCCCAGCCAACTTGGCACCCTGCTTCAGATGGGATCCAAATGAGATTAGCTTTGCTGCTGGCTAAGAACAAACTACTCCAGGACTGTCTCAAGCAATCTGTCCCTGACACATGCTGGAGGAGAATACGGATTTCTGTAAAATAAGCCACTCTGGTTTGCTATGCCAGTCAAAATAACGCGCCAGCACGCATGCTGGGAGCTCCTCTCTACCCAGCTGGGAAAGTCAAAACATCCCGCAACACCAGGGAACACACCAGCCCTTCCATCGGCTCGAGGGGAACAACTCACCCCAGCTTTGAGGGGATAAAGAGACATTTAAATTGTGACCAAGAAGCGTTCTGGGAGCTTCCCAGGAGGAAGAGTCCGATTCCTCACGGTGTAAACCACAGGGCAGGTTTGTCCCCAGGGACAGCTTGGCTCCGAGTCAGTCTGCTCTTGCTCAGAAGGGGTCTGGGCTTGATTCGGGAGCAGGAGCAACATTTATTCCTTTGCAGAGAGTCATCGAGCATGCGGGCTCCAGGGCACAAGTGCCATCCTCCACACGCAGCCGTCACCCTCGAGGGGGGTGGCGGTGGAACCCTGGGCGAGCTCAGACAAAGGCCCAAAATCTCAGTCTCCCAACACACACCCACTTCAACCTTCCAACCGCTTTCGGGAGCTGCTTAAGGCACAGCTAGGAAAAGGTTTAATTCTCCATGCGGTGCTGTGAAATTGGAGGTGAGGAAGGGAAGTTTATGGGAATATCATTCCCATGTGAGGTGGGATCTCGCCTGTGCTGTCGTGTACCACGGGGCAGAGGTGCTGCCAGGCAAGTAGCAGCGGGAGTATCTCAGCCCTATCTCAGTGGGCAATTCCAGCAGCTTGTGTGTGGTCAAAGATCCCCTGAGAGCCCGATGGCAGTGGTCTCCTCATCCTGGAGGAGACCCAAGGCTTCATTTTAGGGAATAATTACTGGTGCATGTTGATCCATGCTCAACCACTGCAGCCAGTGTCCCAAAAGGCAGAGTCTGACGGCCACGGGTGAGTTTCAGTCGGACAAGATACGAAGTAGCGTGGGCACGTGTCCTCGCCCTCAGGGCTATCAGGTCAGCAGTCTGGGAAAGTCAAAACATCCCGCAACACCAGGGAACACACCAGCCCTTCCATCGGCTCGAGGGGAACAACTCACCCCAGCTTTGAGGGGATAAAGAGACATTTAAATTGTGACCAAGAAGCGTTCTGGGAGCTTCCCAGGAGGAAGAGTCCGATTCCTCACGGTGTAAACCACAGGGCAGGTTTGTCCCCAGGGACAGCTTGGCTCCGAGTCAGTCTGCTCTTGCTCAGAAGGGGTCTGGGCTTGATTCGGGAGCAGGAGCAACATTTATTCCTTTGCAGAGAGTCATCGAGCATGCGGGCTCCAGGGCACAAGTGCCATCCTCCACACGCAGCCGTCACCCTCGAGGGGGGTGGCGGTGGAACCCTGGGCGAGCTCAGACAAAGGCCCAAAATCTCAGTCTCCCAACACACACCCACTTCAACCTTCCAACCGCTTTCGGGAGCTGCTTAAGGCACAGCTAGGAAAAGGTTTAATTCTCCATGCGGTGCTGTGAAATTGGAGGTGAGGAAGGGAAGTTTATGGGAATATCATTCCCATGTGAGGTGGGATCTCGCCTGTGCTGTCGTGTACCACGGGGCAGAGGTGCTGCCAGGCAAGTAGCAGCGGGAGTATCTCAGCCCTATCTCAGTGGGCAATTCCAGCAGCTTGTGTGTGGTCAAAGATCCCCTGAGAGCCCGATGGCAGTGGTCTCCTCATCCTGGAGGAGACCCAAGGCTTCATTTTAGGGAATAATTACTGGTGCATGTTGATCCATGCTCAACCACCGCAGCCAGCGTCCCAAAAGGCAGAGTCTGATGGCCACGGGTGAGTTTCAATCGGACAAGATGCGAAGTAGCGTGGGCACGTGTGCTCACCCTCAGGGCTATCAGGTCAGCAGTCCCCAGGGACTCACCTCAGACCACTCCGACATCTCCCACTGGGGTCCGCAGGCTGGGTTCTTGCAGACCTTGCGCTCGTCCGGCCGGGTGATGTCAGCGGACTCGCAGAGGTCACTGTAGACGGAGCTGTCGAATCCCGGAGAGATCATCTTCCAGCAGCGGACGATGCGGAACTGGTAGCCCTCCCCGCAAGTGCGGGAGCACTCGCTCCAGCTGCTTGTCTCCCACCTGCAGAGGGAAGAAAGGCCGTCACACCAGCATGGCTGGACCAGGGCCGGAGCATCCCATGGGAAAACCCTGCCTGCTCTCGGCTGGAGGGGGGCAGCTGCAACAGGAATGAGCTGTAGTCAGGCTGCCAGCATGCGGGAGGTTCTCCTGTGGGGCAGGAGGTATCAACGTGGGGTGGTTTCACCCCAGCACACCTGAGCTCATGCCTGCGGCAGTGGATACAACCAGATTGCCAAGAGGGGGGTGCCCGCAGGGGGAAGCATGGACTGGTGCCCTCATTGCCAAGCGACAGTCACAGAACTGCAGAATGGTTTGGGTTGGAAGGGACCTTAAAAGATCCCCCAATCCCCCCCCCTGCCACAGGCAGGGCCATAGTTACTCCTAGACCACACACTGGGACCCTGCATGTGCCAGCACATTGCTCTGCCATGCTTTTTGCCCAAGGTTTGACCTCTCCTTTTTGCCTAATCAGCTAAAGTACAGAGAGGACAGAGCCATCCATCACCCTGCAAATCCCAGCAATAATGACACACAGAGCTGTCTGACCCCGGTGGGACAGACATTCGTGCACCACCATCACTCTGACTCTGCTAAGAGCATGCGAAGGGCTGGAAGAGCTGGGATTTGCTCCGAGACACTGCCTGCCCCACACTGTCCCCTGCCACTACTGCCCTGACGTTATGAGAGCGGAACAGCTTGTAAACCAAGGGAAAAGACACAAAAAGTCGAGTTTTTTACAGTACAGTAACGTTACAGCAAATCTGAATTATAGAATAAGCTAAAAATGTAAAAACCTAAATGGATCGGAATTCACAGCTCCTCGGGACATGTTCATCCCCCCACACACACACGCTGCTGCTCTTGGAGCAGGAGAGCCGTGTCCCCTGCCTGCATCCCAGCCTCGCACCCTGCACCGGGCATGACAAGCAGCCGTGGGGAGACGTCACACATTCTGAGGTGCTGCCCAAATTCAGAAGGGGGATGAAACCAAGGTCTTTCCATCTAGATCAGACAAAATCCTCTCAGCACTTCCTGCTGGGAAGCATTGCCAGCCCAAGCAGCACCCGAAGCACAGGTAGCGAATGTGCTCAGCTGCCCCATTTGAGATCCCGGCAGCTCCTGGGTTCCCCCAACACCAAGCTGCCGTCACTGGTAAGTCACAGAGCAGCTCTTCTCTGACAGTGCAAGCCCATAGAGCTTGAACAGCACATCTACAAGGAGGGGCAGCTTTATAAAAGACCACTGAGATAATCTAAGCACAAAAAGAGCCCTAATGCTTGTGCTGAAAAAGTTACAGAGTTAATGCAAATAGAGACTCGAGTCCCCATAGTGTCTGCAGAGCATCCATGTTCCCAGCAGCAGCACCATCCACCTCCCCACACTTCTCTTGCTTAAACCGCAGCCAGCCCTGCATTTCAGCTTTCACATGCAAGGTTCAACGAGACGTTTCACTGCAAAAGGCACGTGCTCTCCTCCCCCATCCTCCTCCAGTTACCCAAGGCGAAAATAAGGGCTCTCCAGGGATGGGGTATGGTCCCCATCACAGTTCTCCTCCCTTAGACAGACACCGGTCTGTCCTGCCCGTAACTGGTGTTACCTGCAACCCTTCCAACAAGGACACCGGGTGCTACAAACCGGCAGCAGAGCTGCCCTGAGCCGTACAGTCTGGCTCTGGCCCGCAGTCACGCGTTTGGGATAGAGCTGCATCAGAAGGTTGCCCAGCTCATTTTTCTAGTCCCTTTTCCTCTGCACCAGCTCTTGCCCTGGTACAAGCAAACTTCAGGACGCTGAATTCACACAAAATCCTCCACGTGCTGGCCAGGACAGAATGCTGCCCGTGTCATTAGAAGCCAGACTCAATGGGAAACACAGATTCAACCTCTGCCAGGATTTCTGGAAGTTTTCACCCAGCAGCTTGAGCTAAAGTGCTCAGGAGGAAAGTCTTGCTGAATCCCAGTGCAGCTCAGGCAGACGCAACCGCGGGGAGGGACAGGGGATGCTATGGGCCATCCCTGCTGTCCCTCCCACCAAATCCACACCAACCCCCTCCCCCAAATACACCCCAAGAGTGCCCTGTCGAGGTGGTACCTTGGCTGGCACTCTCTCCCAGCACAGAACTCATGGACGGGCTCAGGACGGGTCATGGCATCACAGTACGTATCATCCACTTCGATCCCATCATAGCGAACACACATAGCATATGTGGACATCACTCCTAGTGTCAAAGAGAACACACACACACACAGAGGATGCTTGGTGATTCTGACATCCAAATTTCTTTTTTTTTTTTGAGCTGTATTTTCCAAAACTTCCTCCTGATGGAAAGCAGCGAGCTGGATGTTCTGACCTATGGGGCAGATGCTGACGGGAGGGGAGGACTGCAACAGCCACCCAGCCAAACGGGCAGCGTGGCTGAGCTTGGCTGTCTCCGAAGGCGGGCACGGCCATCCCTGCCAGCGCTAAGCACTAGCCACCAAGACGAAGGCATGACTAACAATCTTTTATAGGAAACGCTGGGGCAATGAGTCTGCTCTGCAGCTCCCCCACCTCGCAGCCACCAGCTCCAACCCTGCCCAGCTCGTGGGTGGAAGCGACAGAAAATGGTCACCAACCCACTCCATCCACCCACCCCCTCTATATCCCTAACACCCCATTCGTGCCCAGGGATCCTCCCACGTGCACCCAGTGCTCCGGGACAAGGTTGGGCTCCTGGAGGCTTTGCAAGGAGGCATCTGCCCCTCTTGCTCCCCCACCAAAAGCACAGGGAGCCAGTGTCCTCAGACCCAGGCCTTTCCCCCCACAGCCAGAGTAAGCGTGAAGTCCTTTCTGGGAGCTGGCTGGGGACCAGGAGGCTGCTCTGGCTACAGGTAACAAGAATTGCAGCTCTCAGGAACATACGGTTTACATGAAACTCAAAAACAAGATCTACAGCTCTTGACACGGTACTGCTCCTCTGCAATGTGTCGTTAAGAAGAGGCAATGAGAAAGGAGAAATTTAAATAAAACCTCTCTCTGCTAGCTGCAAACCAGGGCAGAACAGCCTGGCCTGGTCAAGGGGAAAATTTGTTCAGAGAGGATCAAAGTAGTCAAAAATGTCCCAGAACACGTGGCTGATGAGATCCCAAGGAAAGGGACGGCTTGCAAAGCCCCCGCTGCTGGCACACGTCTGCTAGACAAAAATAAGTGCTCTGGCATGCTTAAAAAACATGAAATCCTTGCATTTGTTCTTTTAAGAGATGTCCCTTAGATCGCAAACTCCTCTCTCCCTTTTTTTCCCCCTTCTTTCTAATTCCAGAAGCATGCCAGGATCTGGATTTTTTCAGGGAGGGTGCTGCTGGGAACCCACAGGCATGCTTCATCACGAGTGATGGGCTCACAGGGTCAAGAGCCCCTAACCAGGGACTAAAGGAGAGAGATCGGGTGGCTTGAAGCTTTTCAGAGGACAAAATAGGCAGGGGAGGGGGGGTGGGGGGTGTATTTATGCAAAAATAATACAGGCCAGGTTTTGCTATGCCCAGCATCTATGTCGCTGCTCCAGATTTACACCCCAGATGAAGCTCCGGGGTAGGAGTGGGAGAAACAAAACAAAATCAAAGAGCCAAATGCTATTTTGTTTCCTGCCAGAGCTGAACAATCTTCAAAATTTTGCCCTGTGGGGAAGCAGCTAAGCTTTTCAAACCCCTCTGAACAGTCAAAAAGGGGAGGAAGGGAAAAAAAAAATTATAAAGGAGGTGATTTGCTGTGACTCAGCACAGGTTTGGGGATCCTGCCGAAACCACTGTGTCCCCCCCGGGCTGGGAAGTGAAGGCAACATTCAGAGCTCCCTGAGGGTGTTTTGCAGGATGATGGGCACGCTGGGTACCAACACCCAGCCCCCTGCGTGCCCGCACGTTTGCACCTGGGCAGAGCGGATTGAGGGTTGTGCTAAACCAGCTCCAGAGATGCCCTACACGTTCACCAGGTCCTTCCCATCCCTAACAGACATAAAAGTGACTCACACACCAGGTGATTTCAGCGGTTGTGCAGAATTTGGCTGCTTCATAGAACTACCTGTGGTACATGTAGAGCTGCAGGGTTCATGGGAGGAAAGCTTCCACCTGTACATGTCAGCAGCACTCACACCTTGGCCCTTTCTTAACAACTTCAATCTGTTTCTAGCGATAAGCAAACAAAAGAAAAACAAACAAACAAAACAAAAAAAAGGCATTTACAAGGCGAGCGGTGATAGGCCACATCAGACACACACATCTGCCAGTTCGGTCGGGTTCGGGTTTGGGAGGGGATTTGCTTTGTTTGGTGGTCGGGTTTGGTTTTTCTGATTTTTTTGGGGGTTCGTTTGGTTGTTTTAATCGGTTTAATTCGTTTGTTTCACAACATACCTGTCCTGAGCCCCAAGTAGAATCCCCAGCCCGGTTAGAGGCAGAGCTTCCACTGTCTAGAAATAGAGAGAATGGGATAAAAATACCCACAAGTAGAAACAGTTCAGAATTTAACAAAGTTTGCATTTTCTGCTCAAATACACCTGGCCCTCGGCATACAGCGACTAAAGGTGCAGTATCTCCTCCCCTGCGTCTCCAGGGCTGGGCACGCCGGCTCGTGCTGCTCAACGCAGCAGAGCTTTTGGCTGCTCCAATCTCAGCAGGGCACTCCTTCCGAAAGCCTACACATGGCACAGGAGCTTATAAACCTGCTTCTCACAGCCCACTTTGCTTTTAAAACACCAAGGCATGCCGTTTGCCTATCCGCTGCTTTTGCCACTCTTGGTTTGGTTTAATTTTAGGTGGGTAATTTGCATCTCATATCCACGCTGTGCTCAAACACATCATGCCCCCGGGAAAGGAGTATCGGAGTCAGCCTGGTGTCCGAAAAAGCATCTGTCAAACCAAGAACAGCAGCTTCTCCCAGTTCAGCGCATCCTACGTGCTGTGAGGTTGTAACACATCAGGGATACTGCACCTTTACAACAAAAGGCTTCAATTCTGTTCTCATACCTTTGTTCAAACCCTTGAAACAGCTACACTGAAATAGCGTACAAGGTTGTATCCTGACACCCAGTTGTCTCTGGCCTGGCGAGATATGCAGCTTGTATGATTTCTAGGCAGCAGAAGCTCTGAAATTGCCTTATTTAGTTGTTACTAAGAAAAAGTTCAAGTCCGGTCTATCAAATCAACCTTTAAAAGGACACTGTTGAGAATCCAGCCGTTTCCTTTCAGACCCACCCTCCTTCCACCCCCAGCACTGAACCTCCAGGAGGTTTAAAAACAAAAACAATCTCATTTTCCCTGTTGATTTTGCCTGTGTCAGTTTGGCAAATGGTCACTTCCTGCGTTTGGAATGGAACAGAAATAAATGTGACTATTTTTTGTGGAAAAATAACCACCTCATCTCGCTATAAATAGTGTTTTATCTTGCCAGAACAGCTCTGCCTGGGGACCCGCATCAGCCCCTGACCCCGGCTCAGCCCCAGCTACCATCAGGGTGCTGCCTGCTGCCCCCCAGTCAGGGGAGGGCTCACAAGATGACAGTTTTCAGTAAGATCCATTAAAACACAACCAACATCTGCTTTTTGTACTTTGATTTCCCTGGAAAACGGGGTATTACCTAGATCCTCCAGCCCATACCCTGCTCTCCAAAGCAAACACCAAATTATTCTGTCACTAGGACTCCTCTCCCTTGAAA